AGAATTCTCCTTGTGTGCTCCCCTGCAGTCCCTCCTCTCCTGGAAGCTGGTAGACATAGCTGATAGTGATTTGAACAGCTGAATGTGATAAAATCTGAATGTGATAGCTGGGAGGAGGCTGGGCTGTGTGTCTTGCACTGGAGATGGCAGGAGAGGGGGGATTGGGATGGGGATGGAGACTCCAGAAGGTGAGGAAGCTGCAGAGGGATCTGTGCAGGGTTTGGAGGTTTGGTGGGCTGGGGATGTTCAACAGCAGGGAGGGAATCAGAACCCAAATCAGGATGGGTTCAGGTTGTGGGAACAGCTCCCAGCACAACTCCCAGCTGTAAATAAAAAGTCAAGATGCAGAAGGGGAGTTTGATGTGCCTGGGATTTTCCTCCCTGCCACTGGAGGAGGCCTTGGATGCTTGTGTGGTGGAAAATCCATCTTTCCACATCAGGAAGGTGCTGCCTGAAGGATGAAGTCACCTCTGTAACATTGCAGCTGCAATTAACATCTTACTAAAAAAAGCTCTGGAGAGGGAATGCCTTAAATTTGGCTTGGAGTGGTATCCATTTGCAAACACATTAGGGAAAAAGTGAACAGCCCTAACCCTTCCCTCAGTTGTCATTAGCCCCCGTTGCTGTATTTAGAGCATCGTTTGTGTGATGGATGCTCTAATGGCAAACATTACAAGGTTAACAGCTTGTGTTTTTATGGGCAAAGCAGTAGAGAAAATCTTTGCCCTCAACAAAAAAAAAATCCCTTCAGAGAGCATAAAATGAAATTTAAAAAAAAAAAAAAAGAGGAAGTGAACTCTAAATGAAAGCACTCGTGGAGAAAATGGCTTTAGAAAGCACTTCCATGTCTTGCAGAACGAGCAGGTGCTTCTTTAAGGGCTGTGGTTGTGTTTGGTGATATGCAAACTAAAATTAGCATTGTATCTGCTCTTCAAGTGCATGTGCAGTGTCTGAAGTGCAGCCCAGGGATGGCTGCTGTGATGTGTGCTGGAGCTGCATGAGTAACTGCTGCTGCCCCAGTGCTTTAGTCACAGTCTGCATCTGAGCTTGGCATGGAGTCAGCAGCAGGGTACAAAGATTCTGCTCCTCCAGAGCCTCACTGAGGTGCAGCTGCAATATTGAACAGCCTGAAATGCAGCAGCTTGGCAGCTTTTTTTCCCCTTAATCAGCAGAAATCAGTTAATGACTCACAGAGCTGAAAATGTGACTGCAGGAGAGCCCTGAAATCAGCTGGTGGGGTGGGTCCTTCTTGGGGTGCTCAGGTGGATGGAGAACGATGTGGGATGTGCAGGTTGTTGGTAGCAAATGTTGTTTTTTCTGTCAGGAAAAGCTGCTGGGGCTCATTTTCCTGGTTGGAGGAGGGCACAGAGGGTTGGAGTCCAGAGGTGACTGAGTGAGTAATCAGCTCCACCCCTCCTCTGATAGTGCTGGGAACACCTTTAGCAAACTGATGAGGGAAAAGGGATGGGGAGGACAGGCTGGCAGTGGCTGTGCCACCCTGGTGCACCCTGTCCTGCTCTGCTCACAGGGAGCACAGAGCTGCTGCCGGCCCTGTCTGTGTGTGTGGAGCCAGCTCAGCACTTAGAGGCACCAATCCTGGGGACACTCACCTGTGACACCTCCCAGAGATGCTGCTTTGGCCCAAATTCCAGGTCAAAGTTTGGATGTGCTGCTGGAATATGGGAATCTGCAGCTGTGGCTGTGCTGGGTTTAGCCCTGCTTGGATTTAGCATTTCTTTCACCTCTCACTGCCTTGTTCCCCAAGGGAGCTGTGCCAAGGACATCGCCTTTACCCCAGAATCTGCTGAATTTGGCAGCCAGGACCCTCCCTGTGGGTCAGAGCTCAGCCATGGTGCTGAGCAGTGGAGCAGGAGAGGATGAGATGTGGCACATCTGATCTCCCCTGCTGTCTGTGGGCTGCAGAGTTTTCTCTGCATGGAGAAAAGCTCACATTCCCTGCTCTGCAAGCAGCACTTGGAGAACTGAATAGATTTTCCTCTCATGGTTGGCAGAAGAGAGAAATGGCATTTTCTGATGTTTGATCCAGCCCTGGGGGTGAGAGGGGTCAGGTTTGACTTCTGAAAGAGTGGGAAGTATTTCTGTTTCAGTGGTTGCAGATTTAGTAATGCCTCATGGAGGTGAGGCAAACTGCCAGCCCTGACACAGAAAACTGGGGTAGATTCTGTTTCTGATGGTCCACACTTTTCCTGTAAAACCTTGGAAAATTAAATCTGTGCATGACCCAGAATTTCAGACCAGAGCCTGAGCTCAGCACTGCTGGTTCTGCCTGTCCTTCTCCTCAATGCAGAGCAAACAGGGAGCCCTAAAAGAAAGCAAACAGCTTGTTAAGGTGGGAATGATGCTAGGAAATATCCCAGGTACAGCCCAGGTGCTCCAAACAGCTGGGATTTCATTGGAGTCTCACTGATCAGCTCCCCAGGTGTCGGGGCCCAGGTGCAGCCACCTTCCCCTGCAGCTCTGTGACCTCCTTATCAGAGCCTTGCTGCACAGCTGGGGATGGCCAGGTGCCTCCAGGAGCTGGGGAACTTCAGGAATACCCAAAAGCAAATACAGGTCTGGAGTTAGGAGGGCATCCTGAGCTGGCCTTTGGTTACCTCAGACAATTTTTCCTCCTCCCAAAGAGCCCCAAGAAGTCAAACACGAGCACAGAACCATCCTGGAGGTCCCACTGTGTGTTTGTGGCCTTGGGTGCTCTCCAGCCTGGGCTTTTCTGCATGAAATCCTCCTGTTCTGCTCTCTGGTTTCTTTTTTTCCTGCTTTTGACATGTTGGACATGAAGATTGTGGTGTTCTGCTTTGGAAGATTGACTGTGTTCCTAAGGAATGGGATCTTCCAAATCTCAGTGCTGGAGGCAGTGGAGGACGAGTCAGTTGCTCAAGATTTATAAGAACTCCATAATTTATTTCCAAAAGCAGGATATAAGTCTTGAATTTTGAAAAAAATGCACTTATGTCAACTGCTCTTGCTGAAGAAGAGTTGCTGAATTAAATATCCAAAAACATCTGAGCCCTTTCACCCTGTGGAGAGCTGAGAGTTTTTCATGGATTGAGGTGATTTTGGTATTGGATGGTAGAAGGTGGAGTGGGCAGAGCAGTGCTGCTCTTGAAGAATTTGCATCAAATTAAGATTGGAAACTCATCTTTGGGGGTTTGGCACCAGAAACTGCTGGTGAGACTCACTCTGTGTTAGCAGCAGAGAAGGAAAGTGCAGGGATTTAGGAAAATACTGGATTTGTGTGTGTGGATCTCTTTGGGAGGAGCTTAGGACAACTTAGCTCCCACAAATGGCACTGTGGCCATATCCTAAGTCATGAAGGATGCCACTTAGTCAGATATTTGTTTTTTTCTTTTTAAAGTGAGGCTCTTCTCCACAGAGATGCTCTTACATGGCAATGGTGACTGGCAGAAGGCTGAAGGGAAGTTTGCAGCCCAAGCAGAAATGGATTAAAGCTGCAAACATTGGATTGGAAACATTGGACTGCTCTGCTTGGGTTGTTGCTTGTTTTAAGGCAATTTCCCACTACCAGCATCTCTTGCTATAATAGTCCTTGATTTCTAGAGCAGGGCTTTAAAAAGCAAGGAAAAAAAGGAACAAGCAGGGCAGGAAGAGGAAAGGTAGGATGGAATTCAGCATTCCTTTGTAAATGGAAGTGCTCAGTGTCCTGCAGAGCATCCACTTGCAGCTGCTGTGGAGTTGTTGGTGCTCCTGGGGGTTAATCCAGTGAGGAGAGGCTCCTGCTTGGCCTTTGGGAAAACTGCTGTGCATGGAAATGGGAATGAGCAGAAGCCTGGAGTGTTCCTGCTGGATGTCTCACATGCTCTTCTCTGCAGGAGACTGCCAGGCACGGCTTTTGTTTCTGGTTTGGGGTTTTTTTTTCTGAGGCAGAAATTTCAGTTTTATTAAATGTTTACTTTATTCCTTGTTCTTGAAGGTCTGGGCTTGAATCTTGATGCATTTGGTATTGATATAGGTTAGGGTTAGGGTTAGGGTTGAAAACGTTGTGGACACACCTATGGCATGGTCAGTGCTGTGGCAGGACTGTTCCTGAGGCTGTTACCTTGCCAGAATAAAACCATCCCAACTCCAGAGCACCCCAAAACTACAGCTGGATGCTAGTCTTGATCATTTCTTTAGGATTTAAAACTGTAACTAATGATTTCCAGGAATAAAATCTAAATTAATGAGGGGGGGGTGCTGTTCTTGTTGAATCAGATTGCTATATTGAATATCAGATTGCTATATTGGTATGTACTGGTATATTGGTATCTACTGGTGTATTGGTATCTACTGGTATATTGCTTTTTACAGTGCTAGAAATTCCTTAATTTTTGGAGCTTCCTGGTCAGCAGAATGGCACCAAGGCAAAGACAGGAAGAGGTGTCAGGGGTCACAGGATCATGGAATGATTGAGGTTGGAAAAGACCTCCAGGATCATCCTGTCCAACCTGTGACCCATCCCCACCTTGTCCCCAGCCCAGAGCACTGAGTGCCACCTCCAGGATTGGGGACTCTGCCACCCACCCAAGCAAGCCCATTCCAATATCTGATCACCCTTCCTGGGAAGAAATTCTTCCTGATGTCCAAGAGAAATCCCCTCAAAGTTCATGCTTCCCATGATAGGATATTTACAATTTCTAAACTTCTGAAAACATCTTGACTCAACCTTGCTGTCTTTGTGAGAATTATTTATTGCCTTAAAATTCCTGAATACCACCAAAATAAAGGAATGTTGTTGTGTTATTAATGGAACTGAGCAAATGGTCCTTCATGTCAAAGCTTTCAGTGCAGTGGACAAATCCTGCTGTCCCTTGCCCCCAGTGAGCAGTTTGAATTTCCAGTGATTTGCCCCATACTGGTCCTGCTCATGTTGGATTTTGGTGCATCCTGCTCATGTTGGATTTTTGTGCTGTTCTGATGCCACCCTCCTGTGTCAGAGTGGGAGTGAGTTTTATTTCTTTCCTTCCATGTCCTTCCCAGGCATCAGAGGAGGCCTCCCTGCGGGCTCTGGAGAGTCTGATGACGGAGTTTTTCCACAATTGCACAACAAATGAGAGGAAACGTGAGATAGGTGAGTCCTGCCCGTCCAGGGCTGCTCCTGGTGCTGCTGCTGCCCAGCACAGGGGACTGGGGTGTTCCACAGAGCAGCTGGCATCTTCCCCCTCCTGCCTAGGTGGGCCAGGTTTCCATAGCTGGGCTCTGTGGCCGCTCCTGTGGGTGATAAACCAGTGAGGTTCCTCTGTCCATTGTCCTGGGAATGCTCTGCCTGGAGATGCAGCACAGCCCTCAGCATCAGGAATGCAAAGCAAAGCTGTCCCAGTTCTTGTGGAATGACAAGCAGGAATAACAGCAATTCCCTTTGGGTGGGGTTATTAAATATGTCCTGAAAGGCAGCAGATCCTGCCAGGTGCTCTGGGGGAGCTGCTGGGGATTGAAAAGAAGCAGATTGCTTTTATTCCCAAATGGCCACAGGGATGCTCTGAGGGCTGGAACCCTTCAGAGCTGGGGGTGCTCACCTGGAGAGGAGAAGCTCCAGGGACACCTCAGAGCCCCTGCCAGGGCCTGAAGGGGCTCCAGGAGAGCTGCAGAGGGACTGGGGACAAGGGATGGAGGGACAGGACACAGGGAATGGCTCCCACTGCCAGAGGGCAGGGCTGGATGGGATATTGGGAATTGGGAATTGTTCCCTGGGAGGGTGGGCAGGCCCTGGCACAGGGTGCCCACCCTGGATCCCTGGCAGTGCCCAAGGCCAGGCTGGGCAGGACCTGGGACAGTGGAAATTGTCCCTGCCCATGGCAGGGGTGGTAATGGATGAACTTTAAGGTCCTTCCAACCCAAACCATTCTGGGGTTGTTCTGTTTCTACCATCTCTGGCCAAAAGTGTGATCGACATGAAAGACTTGTCCCTGAAATCCTGTAAAATAAACAGCACAAGGTTTTTGTTGTGGTTTTCTGACAGTGATCTCCTGCTGTGGAAGAGGTATCCCTCATTTTCCTGCTTAAATTGCAGGAAAGAAAACAATTAATTAAACCTAAAACTTGCTCAGCCTGTAAAGCAGCCCTTGTGGCTTTTCTCTTTGTCACATTGTCACCTCATGAGAGATGACCAAACCCTTCCTGAGCGTTCAGAGAGGTTTCTGACCCTCTGAACTTCACCAAGTCAGCAGCTCTTGGAGCTGCATTAAAAGAAGGTGGGTTTAGAACACTGATCTGAAGTGCTCCTGCTCCCACAATGACCTGAAATCCCAGCGTTTGGCTTTTACAGATAAAATAACAGTGCTCATAATACAATTGCTGTGTGATTTGTTTTAATGTTCACCTCTTATCTGCTGCAGTTATTTATGTCAAAACTGATTCGAAAATGACACATCAGTTTTGTTTTCATTAAAGCCTGTGGTTACATTGCTTTAAACACTGTAGAATGTGATTTTATTATATTTTTTGCCCTCCTCCAGGTTGAGTCATTCCCTGAACACAGGGTCTCTTCCCTGCTCACTTGCTGTGCTATCACTATACATTGTTATGGCTTTGTTTACAGCTACAGAACTTTAATGGAATATTTTACATCAAAGTCAAATTAAAACTGAAGTACATTTTCAAGTAATTTATATACTTTTATGGGTTGTTTTTTTTTTTTTTTGCAGAAGAGCTTTTAAATAACTTTGCCCAGCAGATAGGAGCCTGGAGATTCTGCCTGTACTTCCTGTCCAGCACAAGGAATGACTATGTGATGATGTACAGCCTGACAGTGTTTGAGGTGAGGCCCCAGCTCCTGCACTGCTCTGCCTGGTGCAGTTTGAGCTGGCAATCGATTTTTTGGGGGGAGATGTTTGTCTGAAATGGCATCCCTGGTAAGTACAGTGATGAAGGATGCTTTTATTGCTCTCTGCCAGAGAGGTTGCTTAATGGCAGGCTTAGAGTGGGAGAATGTGAATCTTTGTACACAAATTGAAGAATTCATTTCCTGGCATCTCAAAGCACAAATTACCTCCAGTTTCAGAGGCTGCTTGAGTTTCTGCACGATGCTTTTAAGGGTGTTATTGCTTTTATGCTGTTTTTATGATCAGAAATATGGGGGTGATTACCTGCTCCTGGCTCCTGCAGGCTCTGAGTGCTGAGAGGGAAGGCAAACCTGCTTTTATTTTTCTGACATTTTGTAGTTGTGGTTGCTGCTCTTGAACTGCATCCTGCAAACTTGTGCTGGCTGGAGAGGTGAGGTCTCTCTTAGCCAGCCACATCCCACTCTTCATCTAATGATAAAAGAGGAAAATTTGGGTTAAAAGGTTTGATATTGATCTCTGTGTCCTCTGGAATAAGCAAAAGTGTTGTGTGGACAGCACTGGTGTGTCACTGATTTCTCAGTGAGCAGTGCAATGTCCTGGGGTTTGGTCAGTGTCACTCCTCAGTCTGGGACATTTGTGTCATGTCCTTGGCTGGGTGGGCACTCTGAGCTGTGCCCCTGAACCAGAGAGATTTACAGCCTTTGCACTGGGCCACTTGTCAGATAAAATACATGTTTAGATAAAAACCCTGCTCTTAAAGTTGGGTTGTTTTTACAAATTATCTACATAATTGTTGATTTCTTCTCTTAAATATTCATTTTACTTATTAAGGATTGCAGAAGGAGTCTGGACTCCATCTGCAAACTGAATCTGCTTTACCTTCCCCTCCAAAAGGGCTGATGGGAATTATTCCTGCTCAGGGCATGGTGTCCCACTGATTTTCCTGACAAGCAAAACAAGTCCAGGGCCAGGAGGTGGATTCAGTGATCCTTGGGATCATCCCACCAGCTCAGGATATTTTATGGATTTTGGTTACTGAGCCTCTCCTTCCCTAGAGGAGGAAAAAGTAGCATTGAAAATCCTAATTGTGCCCAGAATAAAGAAATCCCTGGGCAAGTGCAGAGGGAGGGAGCAGCTGGGAGATGAGGATCTCTCCATGGAGGAGCTTGAATTCCCAAATTTAACTGGTGCAGAGCCATGATCTGTCCCACTGTGCAGCTTCCCCTGCTGTCCTTGGCTGCTGGATCAGTCAGGAGGGTGTGAACACAAGGATCATTCCCAAAACTGCCCAAGGATGTGGATTTCCCAAAGTGCTTAAGAAGGTAGCAGTGGGTTTGGAATAAAACTCCTCCTGACATTGTTTTCACCTCCTGCTTTTTGGAAATGAAGCTAAAACATCTTCCAGTTTTATTGGGATTCTGGACTTGCATCAAGGAACCCTCAGCAGCTTGGGCCATTGTTTTGAAGCAGTATTTGTGAGTTTTCTTTGCT